AAGAGACGTATCTCCAATGCATAATTTTTTTCTGGTTAGCGTTTTTGTAGCGAGTTAGTATTCTACGGGATGGGGTCGCTAACCCCATGCCCAACCCTCCTCCTTTATCCGAGCTTGGGACCGGCAGTAGCCCCCGGAAAGGGACTCCAGTCGGTGATCGACTGAATCATGAATACATCAATATCTGAAGGGAAGCACGGGATACAGTGGATAGCTAGGATGCAATTGGATGATCTAGACTTCGCAGATGATCTGGCTCTTCCATCGCATAAGCAACAACAAATGCAGGAGAAGACAACCAGTGTAGCTGCAGCCTCAGCAGAAATAGGTCTCAATATACACAAAGGGAAAAGCAAGATTCTCCGATACAACACAGCATGCACCAATCCAATCACACTTGACGGAGAAGATTTGGAAGATGTAAAAACCTTTACATATTTGGGCAGCATCATCGATGAACACGGTGGATCTGATGCAGATGTGAAGGCACGGATTGGCAAAGCAAGAGCAGCATATTTACAACTGAAGAATATCTGGAACTCAAAACAATTAGCAACCAACACCAAGGTCAGAATTTTCAATACAAATGTGAAGACAGTTCTACTGTATGGGGCGGAAACCTGGAAAACTACGAAATCCATCGTCCAAAAGATACAGGTGTTTATTAACAGTTGTCTACGCAAAATACTTCAGATCCGCTGGCCGGACACTATAAGCAACAACCTACTGTGGGAGAGAACAAATCAGATCCCAGTGGAGGAAGAAATCAGGAAGAAGCGCTGGAAGTGGATAGGACACACATTGAGGAAAGCACCGAACTGCGTCACGAGACAAGCCCTCATATGGAATCCTCAAGGTCGAAGGAGGAGAGGAAGACCAAAGAATACATTACGCCGGGAAATGGAGATAGATATGAGAAAAATGAACAAGAATTGGATGGAACTAGAAAAGAAGGCCCAGGACAGAGTGGGTTGGAGAATACTGGTCGGCGGCCTATGATCCATTGGGAGTAACAGGCGTAAGTAAGTAAGAAAGTAATCTCCAATGCATAGCCAGCCTCATTTCTTCGTGTTGGCCTCTAACCTACGGCGTTTGCACCAGTTATGGAGTACTTTATCAAAGGCTTTTTAAATATCGCGATATAGTATAACCACTAGTTTATTTTGGTCACGTATGTGAGTAACCTCGTTAAAGAATTCTATCAGACATAAAAGATCTACTTAATCAACTAAGATCGCAAGATGTTTCTGAGGTCGCCCTGTCAGAAGTGTATATACAAAATCGCCAGACGCACTTGATGGAAATCAGATCACGCTGCTGAATCTGATATTCAAATTTCCGAATTTTAGGTACACAAAACTACAAAACGGGCATAAAGTGAGACGAGCGAGGTATACGGACAAACTGTACTGATTGAGGTGCTAAAGCCACCAGAGATACTTGCCTAACCCAATTCGTTGTCCATAGGGAACTCGATAGAATCCAAAAGCAAAGAGGAGGTTTGGGAGTTTTATATTTTAAAAGTGATATCACCTTTATCAATATCGATAACGCGTTTCATGAATATAACGCGGTTCGTTTGTCATTCCTAAAGGAAAAAATATGGGTGGGCGACTTATATTACTGGACTCTGACGAAACAAAAAACGGTATTTGGATGCCCAAATTATTTGTGCCTTAATCACAATCAAGTTCAGAAGATTTTGTGAAGGAAAGCTAGTTAATAAATTTGCAGAATTACAAAAATACTGATATTCGTGAACAAACCAAAGGATTAAGAGTAGATACGGCATTCCAGAATTATGTGAAGATGGTAGTACTCCATTACCAGTGGAACACGACTACTATCAAGTTTAAGTATTTGCTGAGTGCTTTAGCAATATATCTACTCCAAGTGAACTAGCTGGAGAATTTGATCATTGGAGTGCCATGATGCACAACTTTCGAACTAGTGTTTTTCCTCTGCACGCAAATGAGCTTCCGATTATCCTGTGATCATTGGTTCTGTTATCTACAGACGAGATCAAGATGTGGAGCGTGATAAGAAATGAGGAGCACAGTGTAGAGCCTCAAAATGACCTACAGAAATAATCTGGGTGGTCTAGAATCTGGCGGCTTTCGACAAATGATTCCACGTGCATTATGTTGTACATTGGTCACAGAAGAACAGATACACACAGCAAGTGATGCTGAGCTATATACTGTCCAGATACACGATGACCTAGGAGTCATGTTTAGCCAAGACTTGAAAAGCACTGAACAATGCTGTGAGATATCAGTTGAAGGTTTTATAGCCTGACGTCAGATGTGTAATGCCTTTAGCCACTCAGATAGCAAGGTAATATTGGCTTTCTATGCACAGCTTGTTTGTCATAACATCGAGTTTTGCATAGTCAGCGACCTTAACCAAGTTGATTCTTCAATCGGATAGCTGCTGCATGACGAGAACCTAGGTAACATGAAACAATATTCCCCGATGAATTAAAGTACTAGATGTGACCTGATCACAGTTATCAAATTACTGAGAACCTTTCATTTGACATACACCTACTTTTCTCGTCTTTAGAAACGGGAATTTACGAGGACACTCCATTAAATTTCACAAGTACAGAACGAATTAATTGTGGGTTGACTGTCAACTTTCCGATTGAATCATGAACGAACGGAACACTTCACCTGAACACGTAGTCATGGTTTGATTTGTTGACACGTGCAATAGTGAGTTGTATCAATCGGGAAACCGCTGTAGGCAGGACTAGTACGGGCCACTCAACCTTCATTCCTACCTCACCTGAAGCAGAAAGTAATCAACTAACGTAAGCACAAATGCGTGTGGCAGCTTTAGTTCTTTACCCAAGTTCACGAAAATGGGGTTTCTCAGATTAGTAGCAGGAAGGGTTAAAATATATAAAACTGACGACCTTGAGAGATTTCCCGGACGACCTTTGATGACTTATCTTCAAAAATAGCACACTGAAACATTAAATTATGTGGCTACACAGAAAATAGCTGAAAAGACAAAGAACATGAAAAACCGACCTCCATTACTTACAAAGATGGCGGATATAATAATTCTCGCTTCATTCTGATTGGTTGCTAAGCAGACTGTCACGTTTAAGAAATCGAGTTGCGTTTAATAACAGCCTCTGAATGAACTTGGTAACGGTAAGTTTCTATAATTTAGGCTGGAAATCTAACTACTTAAATCCGGCCAGGCCATAACTCATAGCCTATATACTATGCTTAAGTTACTGGAAGAGGAGCAGTAAAGGCGAACAAGAGATAAATAGAGGAGATGTTCTGTGGATAAATAAGCGAATTTACAGGCGAAACGCGAGACAGTCATTTTTACGCCTGTCGTGATGAAATAGCGCAGAACTTCTTTTTTTCTATCGCCTTATGTTTGGTGAAATGTTCGGTGAAAAATATTTCACCGAATACGAATTTCACCGAACCATCTACTTTTCTTCTGTGTAACCGAATTGAACGAGAGATATTGATACTTACCCTTTAATTATTCTGTGTTCCTCTTGATAACCCGTAGTCTGCTTCATTTTCCCCTTTATTAGTTGCTCACAAGACAAATAATGGTGACCAACACCTCCATTCACTCTACTCCATTTAGTTATTTATTAACTTATATCAACTACTGCCTAGTTCAATATGTTCGAATTCGCCTATCAATGTGATGAGTAAATTGCATATTTTTTAGTATAGTTTTAGAGTAATTTTCGAACTTCATGTTTAAGGTCTAGTAGATCGATTGTTGGTGGATAAATAAATGTTCATCTACAGATTTGTCTCCTTTAAATAGAGCCGTCAGTTATTATTATTATTATTATTTGAACACATAAATATTGGTACAAGGGGGCACCAAATATATATGCGCCACACAAAATTTTATTTGTGTGTGGGCTGTGATATTACACGGGTGCCCAGACCGAAGCAGGTGGTTTTCTTAGGGGGCCACACCCCGAGCCTTCGACCTAAAGGTCTAACCCACAAGGCAGTGGAGCATCGTGAGGAGATGCAGTCCCATGGTAGCCGATGACCAAAGGTAGGTTCATACGCCATTTGTTCCTCAGGATACTGGAGCCCATGTGCACCATTGATTTGGGATCAGGTTAAAGAACCGGACATTCGCTTTTCGTTCTCTCATTTTCGTAAACAACACCCCCGCCACGAAAAGGTAATGAGACTTCCCTGGCAGAGCCTGTGTACGCGTGGCCGTGTGAGAGCATTTCAAGAGGGGGAGATCACCCCACTCTCGGCCATACCAGGGCATTTGGGGGCTGTCAGTTAGTCGGTAATGTGAGACGTAAAACCTGGTACCTCAGTGCACCGGTTACAGTCGCCATCCTGCATTGACACAGTGATCATTTCGATTCCAACCAAGTATCCTGAACCATTCAATATGACTCAATCCGGTTCTTAATGACTTCATAGATGTGTTCTACTTGTTGTTGTGTTGGGCCTTAGCTTTCTTTCAGTTTACTCTTGCACCAGATAAAATCACTCACCGAGGTAGGTGGCGGCTAGGTATACGTAAAATGTGTCGCAATCACCTCAATTGGAAGAATTTCACTACCTCATCGACGGGTTTACCATCTTACCTGGTAGCCTACACATAACCTTACGATTGCTTAGTCGGTTATTCCAAAATACATCATAGATGCTTCGAAGACACCTGTGGTCAATTACTAGTAACCTAGAAATATCCTCTGTTCTTAGTGGCCACGTCTCACGCCAATTAAGCAGCACAATGAAGTGTTGTGGGTTAAGATTGTCCTTTAGTTGGCAGATAAATATCTCGTCTAGGCGACACGGGACGAGGACCAATCGAGGAGTTTGAATCATTTAACATAGACATGACAATCGAGCAATCAGTCCAATTATTATCGAAACCCGTTTGTTTGTTGTATAAACTATGTTTATGCTACATATTTGAAAGTGAATATAGATAATTGAATTTCTGTTTGAGTTTTAGGAACAAATCTGGGGATGGATCAGTTGTTCTCCTTCGTTTCCGTATGTTTCCTTTGTCCGTACATGTGGATTGTTGTTGCTGTTAGCACATTGTATATCATTAAGAGGAAATACTTCGGTCATTGCGATTGTACTCTTGAGGATCGTTTGGATGGTAAAACAGTTATTGTTACGGGATGCAATATGGGCATTGGATTAGAAACGGTCGATGAGTTGGCTCGTCGTGGGGCCCGCGTTATAATGGCATGCAGAGATCTAAGGAAGTGCGAATTGGCTCGACAGGAGCTTCTGACTAGAACTTGTAATGAGAAGCCATCAGTATTGAGTGTTCATCTGGAACCAGATCAAGTAAGTTAATTGTAACTTTTTTACTAACTTGATGTGTCTTTCTCGTGGTTGTCATGCCCAGATGAAATGAGATGAAGCAGGATCCAAACCTGTTATGTATTGTCTGGAATTCGACTGCTTAAACCACTATTTCATCTCTCCACTACCATCTTCAGTGACTCCGTGGTTTTTATTTAGTCGATTTTGTTTGTTGATTAAAGTTGTTTGTTGAAAGATTGTTATTGAGACATGAGTAAGCTTTGTAATTATTATCTCGTTTTCAATAGCTTATTTGTGAAGAGTTGGATCTGGAGTCGCCAAAATCTATTCGAGAGTTTGCGAATCGTATCATTAGTAGAGAAAAATCAATTTCCATCCTAATTAATAATGCTGGAGCAGATTTTCCAGAGAAGATTTACGATGAGCTTGGAATTGAGAAACACTTGAAAGTGAATCATTTGGGTCATTTTCTGCTTACCAAATTATTAAAACCGTGTTTGCAAGCCTCGGATGGGAAACCTTGTCGTGTAATTATTCTGTCGTCCTTGTCACATTGGTTTGCTAAATTACACCCGAATAGCGGATTCTTGTCAGGTGTAGGCTCTGGTTATGCTATTAGTAAGCTGTTAAATGTGATTCATGCACGTGAGATTTGTAGACGCTGGTCTGGAGACGGAATTATTTCAGTCAGTGTTCATCCAGGCTTGGTGAGGACATCTATTTTTCGCTCATCCAAAGGGAAATATGTGAGTTGACTGTTGTGTTATATGTTGCATCCAGTGTTTTTCCTTTGATTATAAAGCGAACGTCTTCTTTACGCATACCGTGCATACTAGCAGGTCGCTGATGATAACGTTGGCTTTAACTCTGTCAAGCTCGACCACCACGTCAAGAGCGTGACCGCAGAGCCCAAGGGACAACTGCTTGAGGCTGGTCGCGCACGGTTTTTTCGTGGGAGATTTTTAATGTGTTATCTCCGTACTTGTTGAGACCCTACCGCCGGATACGGAAATCCGTGGGGTAAGGTGAGGTGTGACATTTTTAGGGTCAACCTTCCTTGTGAGAAGGCAGCATCGCTGCAGATGCTGGTTGTCCGAGGGAAACACCTTACTGCTGTCACAACTCTGTACAGTCAGCAGTACGACTTCACCCTCAGACCACGAGTTGCTGCTTTTGGTCTTACCGTTCTCCAATCAACCTGCCTGGCATGGTAGAACCTGCAGGAACATATGTTCCAGCCAATATAGCTCGGTTGAGTCATCACGACAGTCAAGCTCGACCACCACGTCAAGGTAGCATCTTTGGTCGGGGCCACTAGACAAGGATTAAATAAGGAGTTTGTTAGTGATGTTTACAAAAAATGAAGACTTGAATCGAAATTGTTTCGACTAATATTTTGCAAACATCGTTGAGTAGAAAGGGGATTACTGCTTCCTCTTGGTTGTGAGTGTTTTCAGGAATGCTCAAAATTTGTGGAATGGATACTTTGATTGAGCTCAAGCTACTAGCCTCGTCGTAAATTCAGAATGCTCGCGCAAGTACAACCTAAGGAACGAGTTCCATCAAATGCTTCATTTGTTGTGTGCACTGCTAGACAATAATAATGTTCCAAAATGATGCGAAAAGCCGTTTGATTTCATCTGAAGACTGTTATTTCTTATGTTTAAAACAAAGCCTTATAGGTCTCATCAACATTATCGACTAACGTGCATCCTAATTCCTACAACAAATGTTGTGGTGGTACGATGATACCCCAACTATGCGAATCGCACTTAATCAGTTGACGATCAATGTTCTTAGGTATGGCATGTGTGTGAGCCTTCAAGATACAAAGTGCTTTTAAAAGACTAGCAGAAACCTGTTCCCACACTTGCTGTTTGTAGTGAACCTTTATGGGTGTTTGTGTGTTGGTGGTAGTGTGGCTGATGAGATAAATCTACAAATATTAGAACTCAAAATGGTTTATGTCCATTTGAGCCGTCTTTGTGTTAATACGTTATCATGTATGAGTCATAACAGGAATCAGCGGCGGTCTTGCTGTAATTTCCTTTTATACCTCAAAATGTGAGAGGAAGTTCGTCACCTGAAATAATTCGTTCCAATTGTAATCTGTTAAATTGATCGGTCTCTCCTATCATAATTTGTTCTCCTTCACTGCCATTTATTTAATTGGTTATACTTCCTCGCCTTCTTTTACTTCACAACCTTATTGTCTTATCTGTGTAATGCACATCTACTTTGGTGGCCATTTGTAACAATATTTATGTGTTTGAATAAATAGTTATATAAATGGAGTTGTTGAGAGGTAAGTGGTCAATTTGTTTCTGCGTACTCGTGTGCGTGCATGTACCTGATTATCGTATGATGTAGGACGGTATTTCGGAACTGTTACAGTGAAGCTGATTACGTTGGTTTTACTGATTAATATGTGATGAGATGCATGTGTTTGAGAGAAGTTATACTGTTTTGATGCGCATTTGTAAACTAATTAGCTTTTACTGTTCGACTAAAATTTGTTTTAATTTTAGTTTTTAGTCTACTATTTGTTTCGATGGTTGACAAAAACATCCCGTGAAGGTGCCCAGACGACAGTATTTTGTGCGCTTGATAACAATCTCATTCCTGGTGCATTTTATTCTGAGTGTCGACCACGTAGATGTAATTCTCAAGCATTAAATGATGAGATTTGCGATCATGTGTGGAAAACTTCGGAAGCACTTATCGACGAATGGATATCATTTAGTCAGAAGTAGAATTTGAAAATACTTTTTATTACTAAATGCTGTGTTAAATTAGTCACACGTAAATGCCACTGAGCTCGTACATTGTCGTCGTCTTACTTATGCGAAACAGTAAAACATTTTCTGGATTCTTTTTATTCATTTTGCTTAAATGACTAATATTTCACAGTAATTTATATAAGTCACTTTCGATTGTACATTGTCTTCTTTCCATAAGATATGAACTACTGTCGATGAAGTCTCTCCCGTTGGGGTGGAAAGCTGTTTTGATAGATAGATAGACCTGAACAGCAACAGGGAGTGACTTTGAAAATAGTTCTTCTCTAGTTTTTGCGAAGACATCTGCTAATGCACGGTTTACATTTATAAATAAATGTGAGAATCTCTATTATTTAACGGCACATGGTATTATCTGTCAAAATCGGGTAGGGGTTATATATTAGATGTGCATTTTAGATTATTCATAAATACCATGGTCCCACTCGACTCAATTGATAGTCTTCAAATGCTTAGACGATACTATTAAGGAAAGTGGTTTTCTCATTTTTCGCTCCTCACTACAACCTCAATGCAATATTCTGTTACAGATTTTATGGAACAAAAGGGTTGCATTTTCCAATCAGTAGATAAGAAACCATTTTTGATATGAAATCGGTGTGTCACTCTTGAGATCAGTTTTACTTGAGTGAGAAATGCTATTCGAAGGATGTGGTAATGCTTGATCCGCGCCTAACCAGTTCAGTGTAGCCGTTCTGAGTCATGTGTGAACCTTAGTGTAGATGTAAGATAGGAATTAACCTGTCATTTTGAATCCCACCTGCTTATCTGGACAACTTTAATCTTAAGCCGTATTGAATTCTTGACTGACGTCAGAATTTAATGTGATGATAAGAGTGTAATGCAATGTGTTTTAGCTTACACATTTGCTTTATACATGCAAGTGTTTGAGGTAAACAGAACTCACATTTATAACTATTTCGTACCTGCTTATAGTCGTATTTGCATCTTATTTAGGTAAATGTTTTTGATATTTTTCTGCACATTAAAGGTCGTTTGCATGCCTGTTGTCGTCGTCTTTGACAACGTTATAATCCCAAACTGGGAAAAAACAGTGTATGACTAATCGAAATAAGATCTATAATTTTTTCTTGAATAAACATTACAGGACTCATGACTTCATAGAATTTACTAACCTCTGAGGAGTTTAATTTACGAGAATATGATATATAACTGTATTTAATTATGAAAGTTCACTTTAAAAACTAATTATGTAAAGGCTGCTGCCAGTCCATTACTACTTTAGATAAAATAAACTATGCGTAAGATACTATTCAATGCCATTCATGAACATTAAAATTTTCATTCATTATAAACGATAAATAAATTGAATAACGTACATCAAACAACATTGTTCATTAAAAAGACGAAATAGTTTTGTAACAGAACATATTATAAACATTTCTTTTCTATACAAATTTGAATAATTAGATACGATAGTTCCAGTAAAATTTATCAAGCAATAGAATGCTATATGAATGAGTTAAAGTGTGTTTAGAGTAATAATTATGAAGACCAGGGTATCTAACAGTCAGAGTAAGTCAAATCAACTTGTTGTGTGAAAATTCATAAATATATAGCCATTAGTAAAATCTATACCAGGTCAACCATGGATTCTAATTTTAATACCTGGATGAATATATTTAGCATGAAAAGTCAAGTGTAAAAGTATTTCCAAATGATATCAACCTATTAATAGTAATTTGTTTATGAAATGACTGATTTTGTATTTCCAGTTATTTACCTGAACAGATACACTCTAATTATATTATTATTCTTAAGGTAGTGATTAGTGTCTAACTCTTTCTAATACAAGAAAAGATGCATTATGTCATTTGTTAAGTAATTGTAAGGTTATCTTCAAGTTCTTGTATTGATACTAGATATGTAATGAAATTATGTATTAGTGCAGACGGTATCATCTTTATTTCACTTGGAAAACAAAGATTTTTGAAATACTACTTTTCTTTTGACTGGCTCATCACCCGTTTAGTGTACAACTGAACTCATTACTATTTATAAGTGAATTAAGCAATATTTTTCATCTGTGTAGCAACATGATATTCTACGATAAAAGATGGAATTTCTTATCACTTTCAATTATAGTGATTAACACGGTAACATTCCATACTAGTGATTTTGATAATTCACAGTTTCAATAGTTCTTAACAAATACAGAAGAGGTTTTCCTGCTTAATTTAAGAGTTATGCATGTAATAAGGTTCTCATTTACGTGCCAAAGCACATTGGAAGAACAGAGGGATAAGAACATGTTCGTGTTTCTGAGCACGTTCCAAAGAACTTGAGACTGGGGTGCATAGTGGCTCTATTGAGTGTAATCGCTCGGCATTTGCTTGACCCCGGGAATACCACTGACATTGCACAAGTCTTTAAAGTTATTAGCAAACAAAAAGACATAGTGTCTCTTCGGTTTGCCGAAGCAATAGCAATAAGAAAATTCAAGCCTGATTTATGTATCCCGAAAGAGACAGTAATAAGTTTGTCGCTACCTTGGTAAATCATATTCTGTTATTATCGTCACTTCATTTTGTTTAGAAGGTCGTATTTTATGTACACCAAAACCATCTCTTCACTCACACGTTTTCGTTCACTTAATTCTCTTGTGTGAACTCTTTAAATCCTGTGCAATCTTTACGTAACCCACCTTATCGATTTTTAATTCCAATAACCTTTTGTAAACCTTTCGTAACCTCTAAAATAGTCACACAATCTATATTATTTGTCTTTTGACCTCGTTTCATTGATGCATCACCCACCCCTTATGTTATTTGAATTTCAACTCCAAAATGACCTCTAACATGTTCTTGCACATGTATATAGTTATTACAGATAGCCTTTGTCATTCTAATTCTTCTCGTTCATCTATATCAATTGTTTCATATTCTATTCTAGCTTAATGCTAAATCTCATTACATATATGGTAGTAAGCAGCTGATGAGAAACCACTAAATGGAATGAAATCATGTTATTCTGCAGCAATATTTGTTCTGGCTTTATTCAAGTTCATTAAGGGAGTCAATTGTATGTAATTGATTATTTTCGTAATACGCTATTCTGTGGCTGATCGGATGCTACATGCAGTTCATTTAGCTATGTGTACTGTGTTATCCTTGACTTCGATATTGGTATATACTGGGCTACTGGAGTACGTTTAGACCTTTCAGCAAGAAGCATTAGCTATGTTCTGGGTCGTTGAATGACTTCGTAGGTACTTGGAAAAAATTCACTGTTGTTACAGAATATGAAACCTTAAAGTTTGTTTATCATCCTGAACAATTCTTCGCACCTTCCACAGTCCTGCTTCGGTTTGGGCACCCGGGCAGTATTACAGCCCTTACACAAATCGAATGAGATTAATGTGGCGCATATGTGATTGGTGCCTCTTTGTATCAGTATCTATGTGTTCAAATGAAATAATATAACCTTCGACAGTTTCTATGGTTCGGAAATGGAGTGTTGCTTTAAGTGTCGATCCACTAGTTTGGGGATAACCGTATAACTGCTATGAATTAATAGTAATACGTGTAAATTTCTGAACCGTATGTCATCCTTTTTTTACAGAATATTACCAGCATTTCACCTAAAAGACGCCTAGACTTTTAGAGTAAATAAAAAATTATATAGTATCAAATAAATCATTCATCAAGCTGAGTCTTTCCCAAGAGAGATAAATCAGCCATGCACGTATAACCGTCTACCGAATTCTGTCAGGCGATGGGCATTTGTTGTGTGTTGTGGCTTTGACGTACATAACGTAGCCAAAGAAATCCCGTTCAGCTCAATTAGGAAAATAACTAGAAGCTGAATTCAGCAAAATGGGAATCTGACAAAAGCGCACAAATATAGACAGATTTAACCTCCCGATTGTTGTTGGTACTTACAAATTTATGTTGTCGAGTGATACATTCATTGGCTATATGCACCAACTGATGATTCCTTCGAAATTGAATAGGCACTGATTACGAATCACAAGTACTATTCCTGAGTTTGAATGGTCATGAACCCTTATAGAAATGAATGACTACTCGATAGTGGAATTTAGACGAATAAGGTTAGCTATTCGAAGGACATGGTCTACATTAACACACTAGCTATACCTGACTTTTGTTGCACCGTAGCCGATAGTACCTGTCGTAAAATGCTTCGTCCGGCTGATCTTTCATTCGAGCGTACATCAGTATTGGGGCAATGGTGATTCCGAGTAAGAATCCATATGTGGCTAATTTGACTGATCTTCTGGTTAAGCACCTTAGAGTTTTAGGTTCTGAAATTGAAAATGAATTCTAAACTAGCAGAAACAAACGTGACAACAAGGTAATCGTCGGGGCACATATGATAGCTCCGAAAAGACATGAAGTTTGAACTATTCTGAGAGCGATATGCGTTAGCAGTTCAATCTTTAAATGTGGAATGTTCTGGAGCTCTTCCTCGCTTAAATGCACACCAAAAACATTTTTCACCCATAATGATCCCATTTACATGTGTATCGTTACGGAGTTAATAGGTTTATTTAGACGACAGAATGTTGGAAGCTTAGGAAGCGCTGATGTAGACGTAAGTTTAGTGGGGCAACGATAAAATAATATCGTCTACTGATGGAGGTTACTGAGTACTCGAAGGTCAAACCGTCATAAAACGATTGGTGCACCACCTCGATAATCCGTAGGGTTTTACAGTAGCGGTCAAATCAAGACAGTCACACTATATCTGATAACGTCCATCCTTCAAGTGACGAAAGTGATACAATCGTAATGATGTAGGATGGATCACCAATAATATGGTGTTATCACGACGATTTTCATGTAGGGCCCTGCATACCGGCTGTGACAATTTTGAGACCTGCTTGAAAATGTATAAACATGGTGCGATTTGACCTCCTGATGTCCCTTGGCACTTACAATTGCATGTAGTCGAGAAATACATTCACGTGGTAT